GGGTAGAACTAGAAGCAATGGGTGGAAACTAATCAAGGAGGGAAGCAACTTAGAACTGAGGAGACATTTCCTGACAGTTAGAACAATTCATCAGGGGAACAGCTTGCCTCCTGAAGTTGTGAATGCCCCAACACTGGAAGTCTTTAAGAAGATGTTGGATAGCCATTTATCTGGAACGGTATAGGGTTTCCTGCCTAGGCAGAGGGTTGGACTAGAAGACCTCCAAGGTTCCTTCCAACTCTGCTATTGTATTGTATTGTATGTATACACATACACACACACACACACAAAACTATTAGGGAGACATAGAATATTATAGTTGGTATATGATACACAAAGGTCTTTCCAACAACACAAGACAATTCACTTAGCGACAATCCAGGCAGCCAATCCAAAATTCCTTACATGTAGATACATTCCCCATTTATGGAACATAATTTAGCAACACACAAATACCTTTAAAACTTAACTTCCTTCCAACATCTTGGCTGGAATATTTAACAAATGCAAAGCAATCAAACTGTATAATTAAAGCATGTCTACTCATGTACCTTCAAATTTACATCAGTAAATAAATCAGTCGGTAAAATCAGTAGGTTTTGGGAACAAAGCCATTTGGAAACATTCATTATTAAACCTAAAAAAAAATTCATTAATTTCTCTTTATATATTGTATGACACATTTTTAAAAAACCAGAATCATTAACATAGCAAATTAGGAAACTCCAATTCTCTAGTCTAAATTTCTTCCAAATTATCCATGTTTATTTTAATAAATTCTGATTGTTGATTTCACTGAATTTTTGACAGTTTCTAAAACTTGCAGGGGTTTCTGAGACAACCTAGTGGTTCTAAATATAAGGTTAACATGCTAAATTTAAATCTAATCTGATTTTGATTTTCCTCTCAAAATAGGATTATTCCTCTTCCTTCTCCTCCTCCTCTTCCTCCACAACCTCCACCTCTTTATCGAAGCTCATCCAATACATCCATTTCAACCTGGGGATTGGGTGCTTGTAAAGACGTGAGGACCAATGGCCATCTTGGACAAGAAGTGGAAGGGACCATTTTAAGTTCTCCTTCCTTGGGGTTTCAATTTACATTCTAATTTTCTACTCTTAAAGTGGAAAGCATCCTTGCTTTGTAAAAATTCATTGATGCAGAAATAGCAGAAAGTATTCAAACCATTGTTCACTGTAAAATATGGGTGTATTGCTAATAATGATTCATTACCTTTTTGTGGTTTGGAGAATCATAAAAGCTGGGTGGGCATTGTTTTCTGTGGTAGGATTCCTGGGCTTTTAAGACCAAGTGCACATTTGCATATCCCACTGAAATCTTGCCAATTTTTTTAAAAATACTTTTATTAAAAGATAAACATAAATGCAAGCTAAAAAGAATTTTTAAAATGCGGAATAGGAAAAATAGAAGGAAAACTAGAAAGAAAGAATATATTAATAGTAAAAAAAAGAGTAACTTCCCCTTCATCACAAGTACAGATGATTTTAGAAACTTTTCACCTTTTTTTTTGAAGGTGACTTCTTTCCATAACTCATTTCTTGTCTATAAACAAATCCTTAAAACTCATCATTTCACTCCTGATCAGCAAAAGTCTGTTAAGGGTTAGCAGAAATAATAGCACATCTATTTGATCAAATAAACCAAGTTTGTATTTGTTCCTTTTACTTTTAATAATTTGAATCCTGACCCTTCAAATAATGTCTTAGCACTTTATTTCTTTTCATTTGTCATTGTTCCTTCTCACAAAATTCTTCAAAGCTTTCTACCAATTCCTTTTTGCAATTTCAATATAGGAAAGTTTCTAGGTAACTCTTTTGGTTTGTTATTTGTATATCCCTTTAAATTATTAACATATCAGCCGGTTTCATTTACATGTCCAGTGTAGCATCTTTTTCCATGTCATTCTTCTAGCCTCTCATTTTTAAAAACCATTTTCCAATAGGTCTCAGTCTTGTCTGACAAAATTTATTTCTATTCCATAACTTTTAAACACAATCAAAAGTTAAAATTAGCTTCTAGGGCCATTGTTCAAAAATATCCTTCAGTATGTCAAATGTTAATACTTACATAAGTGTTACTTTCCTTTAATTGTAATCTTTATTTCCTTCTAGTTCCCTCTAATGTCCAACCTTAAAAATCTCATCCTATTATGTTGTAGACATTCTCATGAGCTTTCCTGATTGGGAGAGGAATTTGAAGAGCTTGCCAGCTCTTCATTCTGCCACTGTCATCACCATTTTCACCATTTTTCTCCTGGAAGTCAAATCCGGACATACTGTTTTTAAAATTAAAGCATTGAGATCAGCATATGACTTTCAAAGGTTTGCGATAATATTTGGTTGAAAGAAAATTGGCATGAAAAGAATAGATTCAAGAAAAGCAGGGTTGCTGCTCAGCTCAAGAGACAATGTGCATGAGTTGATGATTGAGCTGGCTTGGATAATGTGCATATTGTTAAAGTAGATATTGTTGAAATTGTATCCATCCCATATTCTAATTTTGCATCCTCATTGGATTAAAGAAGAGATACATCTCTCTGCTTTTCAGGAAAAGATGAGTATTAATTAGTCAGGAAAATGTAGGTGAAGGAGTGGCAGAATCTGTGTGTGTGTGTGTGTGTGTGTGTGTGTGTTAAAAGAAGGATCGGTCTAGATTCCCTATGTAGCCATGAACTAAATTCACCCCCCCCCCCTTAAATTCAGTTGATACTAACTCCAAGCAGTTGAGAAGATTCCTATGTATAGGCCTTTTAGCAATACATTAATTTAATTGGATCTTCCCATGGAGACCTGGTCTTTCCTGCCTGACAAACTTTTTCACAGTTTAACCACTTCAAATCAGGTAAATAATTTTAGTTAGGTAGTAAATTAAAAGCCAAGAGGGTTATTGACCAAGGTGAGGCATTTGGTAGTATATCCCTTTTATTTAGTAACCATAGCTTTTTTTGAAACCCAATTGCAAGTGAATCAGTGTTGTCTCCTCCTTACACACACTTACACAGAACAAATAGCTATTGAATTGAAGCTCCCCAATTTGCTTCTGTGCTTCAGGAGATCATGTTACTGCTTTGAAAAGGAAAAGGAAATTCATAATCCAATCTCTTCCTCCTCAAAAAGAAACCGGAGGCGATTTGCTAAAATATTCATGCCCAGGAAGAGAAGAACCAGAGCAATCAAATGACACACATTTGGAAAAACATTTCACAGATCCTTTGTTGCCTAATTGTTGGTTGGTTGGTC